ACCCCCAGGCTCAGGCAATCCTCTCGCCTCGGCCTCCCAAAGTGCTGGGATTATAGGCTGACCACTGCTCCCAGCCTCTTCGAGCTTCTCTAAGGTTCGGCTTGTCCAGTTCCCGTGGGCAGACTATGTCCTTGCACGTACTTGGTGAGTGTAACCACACCGTGTTGCAGTTGTTGTCATGTATTTCTCTGCTCACTGTTGACAGACAGGTAGCAGGTCTTGGTCATCCTGTTGTCTCCAGCATTCTTGCAACATTTGCTGAACTGATACTTTTGCAGGGTCTCTCTGGGCAGAGACAGTGCAGGAAGAGACCCTGAGGGAGCATGCCTTTCTCAGTGTACCTGCCTCCTGCATCTCACCTGATTTAGAAAGAGATTGATTTAGAAGTTGCTAGTATCAAGATCATTGCTTTCTGAGAGCAATTGACGTATGGGAGGCAGTGGCCTGTGGAAGATTCTTTTGCTTCTAGCTGGATGTTGGCTCCAAACCCCAGTGTGAGGCCTGTGAGCTAGCCTGACCTGTGTGAAGAATGCTAATGCCTAGGCCCTCGGCACCTAGAGTTTGGATCCAGAGTGACCATGTGGCCTCTATAGGAAGGTCACAAGAGCAGGCGTGCAGGTGCTACACCTTCATTCCCTGGCACATCTTCTCACCACAGTGGAAGGTTCCATGGAATCACCTTGCAAAGAGATAAGAGAGGAGCGGAAAGGCCAGACGCTGTGGCTCACACCTGCAATCCCAGCACGTGGGGAGGCTGAGGCAGGAGGATTGCTTGAGCCCAGGAATTTGAGACCAGCCTGGGCAACATAGTGAGACCTTGTCTCTACCAAAAAAAAAAAAAATAGCCAGGCATGGTGGTGCACACCTGTAGTCCCAGCTACTCAGGAGACTGAGGCAGAAGGATTGCCTGAGTCCAGGAGGTCGAGGCTGACGTTCAGGACATTTCTAGCCTCAGTAACTTGTGACCTGGGAAGGCGGTGGTGAAAAGGAAAGGGGAATTGTTTGAAGAAATTATTGACTCTTACTTGACAGAGGTAAACATTGAGCCACAAGAAGATTAAGTGACTTGTTCAAGAACTTAGAGCTACAAAATGTCAGTTGGAATTTTAATGCAGCTCTAAATCCAGAGTCCCTGCTCCTTTTGCTAAAGCATTCACAATAGATGCTACTTACGGGAAAAAAAAAAGAGATTGCAGAAACGACAGCCTCATCTCACCTTCTCTTTGGCTGTGTGGCTTTGGCCCTCACGGGGCACGTGCCTGTGTGGCTTATGAGCCAGTGAAGTCAGTATGTTTGGGTGCCGAGCAGTGAGCGCCCCTCAGCAGGACTGGACACACGCATTCCGATGGCAATGCTGGCCCTTCCCTGTGCTGCTGCCAGTGTCCAGGGGCAGCTCTTGGGTGTAGTTTTCTTCTTCTCTCCTACTGAACTGAGCTGAGTGGGTGAGAGGCAGAGGAAACGTGATCAGGGTATGGAATTTGGCGCAACCATTATTGCATCCCGCCAGCCGGCAAGGAGTGAAGGACAATCTCTGGCATCTGACTGCGGCAGGCAGCCAACCCAATCAGCTTCATAACAGCTTCTGTGGTTCCATTTCTATCCAATGCGATTAATTTAAAGGACTTATTTTTAAATTTTTAAATTGTATTCTAGAGTTGGGGGGTGCACGTGAGGATTCTGCTACTTAAGTAGGCTGCATGCAGATGGAGTCTGGGCTCCTCTCTGCCTCGACAGTGGACCAGGTGCCCGGTGTGCTACGACATGCCCCTTCTCCTTCCCTCCCTCCCTCCCCAGCCGTGTCCAGCTTCTGCTGTCCCCATCCTTGTGCTCATACAACTGTGTCCAGGGCCCTCGTATGCGTGGGAATGTGCGGTGTTCAGGTTTTTGTTTCTGTGATAGTTCACTTAGTATGACGGTCTTCAGCTGGCCGTCCACTCCATTGCAAAGGCCATGATCTTGTCCTTTTTCATGGCTGCATAATACTCCATCATGTATCTATGCCACATTTGCTTTATCCAGTTCACTTTCTGTGGGCATCTGGGTTGGTTCTATGTTTTTACTATTGTGAAAAGTACAGTAAACATGCGTCTGCAGGTATCTTTTTTGTAGAGTGATTCATGTTCCTCTGGGTGTATTCCCAGAAGAGGGATTGCGGGATCATAAGAAGCTCAGTGTTCAGTTAAGAAGTCGTCACACTGCTTTCCACAAAAGTTAGGCCAGCTTACATTTCCCCCCAGTAGTGTAGGAGCGTTCCTTTTCTTCATGGCTGCACCAGCACCTGTTGTTTCTGGACTTGTTGGTGCCGACCTCCTGACCCATGTTCGGTGGCATCTCGTTGTTGTTGTGATTTGCGTTTCTCTGATGGTTAATGAGGCTGAGCATTTCTTCCTGTGTTTGTGGGAGGAGGGATTTTTTAGGTGGCTTTAAGCCAGGGCTTTTCTGTCCTTGTTCCATGAGCCCCTTCCAGAATAAAATAGATGGAAGGGGGAGTAAGTTGCCTGCAGGCCCTTCCGTGCTGGTCTCTTCAGCCAAAACGGCTCTGTTGTTTGTTTTACATATTGAGGTTCTCATTAAGCCAGTCTCTAATGAGGGATTTTGTCTTATTTTCAAGTCAGCTTGAAAACTTTAATCAGATTCTCAGAAAGAGATACATTGGGAGAAGACAGTGCGATTCTGCTCAGCTAATATTTGAACACTTAACCAGGCACCAAGCCAGGAGGAGACTGCAGCCGCGTAGATATACACCACCCTTACTGGTGTCTGGCAGGAAAGACAGAGGTTAACCGAATAATTACAAGTGAGACCAGAATAACTGGAGAGCATGCCTGGTCTCCGCCCCTTCCCAGAATTCCTTAGCGATTTGTATCTGCCCCATGGCGATCTCTGGTCATTCCTCTGTGGGAGGACAGTGGCAGGTGTCAGGGAGACCTTGGAGGCCTAGTGGGAGCCAGTCTAGGTGAGGAGCTGGAGACGGGCAGAGCCGTCTTGCAGGCCGAGGCAGCGCTGTGGGAAGGCCTGGAGCGGGGAGAAGGTGGAGCGTGTTCAAGTGTCTGGAACTCGGGTGTCTCAGTGTGTGCGTGTTTCTACTACCGCGTTTGTCATGTTGTGTGCTGACCGCCCCTCCACCTACCATAAGCTCCTTGATGACCAAAACTAGCATCTGGCCCCTAGTAGACCTCAATACATAGTAGATGACCAAGGGAGGGCTTAGTTCAGCATAGGACATGGAAAAGCATATTACTAATTGTTCAGTAGGATGGTGACCTGAGGACTTTATTTTAAGCCTTGAACACTTGATTCAAGTGAACTGTTATGCAGAAGTTCTGGAACCTACTATACTTACCTGGTTGTGTTTGGGCAGCAGTTGCTTCTCAGCTCCTCTCCATCTCTATAACGCTCCAGCCTGCACCTCTGTAGTTTTGCTTTTATGATCCCCTCTACCCGTTCATACCCACCTGGGTAATCCCTGCTGTCTTTCCTTTCACGTGCCCGTACCTGCTCCCTTTTTTCTTGTCTGCTCTAAAGTTAGCTGCCCGCCTGGTCCTTCCAACATTAGGCGAGTACCTGTTTTAGAGCACGTACTGAGCTGCATCAGTGGCTTGAAGCAGAGCCCTGGGAAGCCTTTTCCCTGGCTTGGCCATCCCACTCCAGTGTCCTGACACCATTTAGCACCTAAAGTCTGAGGTGAGAGGCGTGGGGTCCCGAGCACAGGTCACAGGACTGAATTTTGAGAGCCCCTGGGGAAGGAAACGGGTACAGATGCAGATGGGGATACAGACGGTGCTAGGCTCTGAGTGCTCTCCTGCTGCCAGTCGTGTCGTGGAGATAGAAGGCTGTGCCCTTAGCTGGTGGGCTTGCTAGGTAAAGGTGGGAGTACTAGGCGGCTTCGTGCCCCGTGGGCGTTGTTGGTAGTGACTATAATGGCATCACTGTGCCAGGTTCTGTGACTTTTTTCTCCTTTCAGTAACGCTCAGCTGTTTGAATATAGACACCAAAGGAGAAGATGGTTGGGTTGGGTCAGCCAGAGGGTTTTATTAGGGGAGCACAAAAGAGGGACTCCTCAGAGCTAAGGGTGTGGAGGAAGAGGAAAGTGCTTCTGGGTCCAGGTGTGGCGAAGAAGTTGTGGGGTCAGTGGACTGGACTTTTAATCACGCTGAAGAATCATTTCAAAAGAAATTTAACTAGGACTGCGGAGAGTCAGTGGACGCAGGGGACAGTCCCGTGAAGTGAGTGCAAGATGGCGGGTGGAAAGTCCCAGGAGGCTGAGTCCCAGGGCTTGACTGTTCACCGAGCATGAGATCCGGAGGGCTAGAGTGCCGCCGCCCCATCGTAGCTCACTGCAGCCTTGACCGCTGGGTCTCGAGCGCTTCTCCTGCTTTAGCCTCCTGAATAGCTGGGACTGTGGGTGCACGCCAGCATGCCTGGCTTTTTTTCTTTTTTGTAGAGATGCGGTCTTTCTATGTTGCACAGGCTGGGATTATAGGCGTGAGCCAGCACACCATACCTGGCTGCATTTCTGTTAATGTAGACATTTTAGTAAGGGAGAGTCAGATTACCTGTCTTGAAATCTCAGCTCTGTCGTTTACTAGTTGTGTGACCTTGAGCAAGTTATATAATCGCTCCGGGTCTCAGCTTCTTCATCTGGAAAATGGGGATAAAATTAATACTTACCTAGTAGTGTTGTACTGAGCATTCAATGAGTTCACGTTGGTAAAGCACTTCAGTAAGTCCTACCACACAGGAAGTATATATAAGTACTTATTAAAAATAGCTCCTCTCTGCATATTTAATTTAACATATAACTCCTCAGAACTCTGACCTAGCAACTATTTCCCCTCTGCCTCGTTTATTACCAGGATCTTATAACTAAACCTTTACTATGTGCTAAGTTGAATTTGTCCCCTACACACTTTTCATTGATGTAGGAGTTTTTTCATGAGGCTTGTAAGTCTGTACTGATGGCTGCAGAAAAGTATATTTATCATGTTTGTTTTATGGATTTTATTTTAGCTGTTAAACGTTTGATGAAAGAAGCAGCGGAATTGAAAGATCCTACAGATCATTACCATGCGCAGCCATTAGAGGTTAGTGTCTGTCTCCATATTCTTCGTGTGGACTTTATGTTAATATTTAAAACAAACTCTTTAAAATTGCTTTTCATTGCTTTGAGTCATTACAGATGTGCTTGATGTCATTTATTGATATATTTTGTTCTCCGTATTTCATGACTATTGCATTCTGAATCAGACAACTAGGAAGCAGGAGGTTTCTGGTCTCTGAAAGTGGTCTCATGCTAAGTCGATGTCAGGTCTTGATCTGGGGAGGGAAGGTGACAGGAAGCCAGACTCCTGGCAGTTTGGAAGGCCCAGCCCATTGTGAGGTCTTTGTCCGTCCCACCCCCTACCCCCTGGCTTCTCGACAAACATCTCTACCTCTCTCAATCTGCTCATCTGTAAAGGAGGATGTTTAAATGTATTCAATCAGTTTTCATGGTAATAGTGAGAATAAAAAGGTAATAATGTATGTTGCAAGTATTTTGCAAACTTAAAAGTACCTGGTAACTGTAAGGTGACAGGAAATGTAGTGGTGTTACTGCCCATTTATAAATAAACTCTTAGGCATCTATAAGGGATCACTTTTTAAAGATGTGTTAACATAACAAATTTATAGTAATTTGATTATGTGATAATTATTGCTAACTGGCATTCTTTCAAGGGTCAGTCTCCAATTTAAAACTTCATTTATTAATCCATAACACTCAGCTTTGTTTGAGTCAGAGTCACTCTGTTGCTCAGGCTGGAGTGTAGTGGCACATTCACAGCTACTGCAGTCGTGACCTGCTGGGCTCAGGCGATCCTTCCGTTTCAGCCTTTCAAGCAGCTGGGATTACAGGTGTGTGCCGCCATACCCGGCTGATTTTTCTGATTTGTTTTAGACATGAGGTCTTGCCGTGTTGCCCAGGCTGGTCTCAAACTCCTGGGCTTAGGCAGTCCTCTCGCCTTGGCGTCCCACGGTGCTGGGATTACAGGCATGTGCCTCTGCGCCTGGCTTTTTTTTTTTTTTTTTTAATAGATGAAGGCTCTCGCTATGTTGCCCAGGCTGGTCTCAAACTCCTGGCCTCAAGCAATCCTCCAGCCTCTACCTCCCAAAGTGCTAGGATTACAGGTGTGAGCCACCGCACCCATCCAATACTCAGAAAATTTTAATGTGTATATTTCAAAAACATTTTAGCTCTTTTGAAATACGCAACCTAGATTAAACAGCTTTTATTTATCACATATTCTTGAGACATCTTATACATTAGAAACTATCCTAGCAATAATATAAAACATTTAATTTTTCTTACTTGGTAATATTTCTAATATCCAGATAATAAAAAAATGATCACACTTTGTAATGTTATTGATTCCCTGTGGGTTCTTGTTTTTGTCCAGGATAACCTGTTTGAATGGCACTTCACAGTTAGAGGGCCTCCAGATTCTGATTTTGATGGAGGAGTTTATCATGGACGGATAGTTCTCCCACCAGAGTATCCCATGAAACCACCAAGCATCATTCTCCTTACGGTAAGAATTCTGGCTTTTTGGAATGCTTGTAGTTTAACTCTTCCTGGTAGCCACAAAATATGAAAGCATAATTCGTTTTCGTTAAGAAAAAGGTGAAATTTTCCGTCCTCCAAAATAATTCCTAGGCAGTTGATGCATCTGAGAAGAGCTAAGGAGACGACTGAGTGCATACCTGTCATTGATGGTTGTCAGGATTCCGTGAATTAATGTATGCGGTGCTGGGCACACAAGTGTGGCCCTTGGCAAGTGCTCAGTGAAGGGTAGCAGGTGTTCCTGCACCTTGGGGTCAATCACCTCCTGCCACTGCCCTCCTTTCTTACGCTTGTCTCCTCAGTTCCTCATCCTTGCAGGGGGGATGGCGGCCCCCACCTTGCTGAGTTGATGTGGGATCAAATGAGGCCGGGTGTGGTGGCTCAAGGCTGTGATCCCTGCACTCTGGGAAGCCAAGGCGAGAGGATTGCCTGAGCTCAGGGGTTCGAGACCCTCCTGGGCAACTTGGTGAGATCTCGTCTCTACGATAAATAAAAGTAATAATAAGCTGAGCATGGTAGCGTGTTCCTGCAGTTCTAGCTACTTGGAAGGCTAAAGTGGAAGAATCTCCTGAGTCCAGCAGGTCGAGGCTGCAGTGACCGTGAGCGTGCCACTGCACTCCAGCCTGGACGACAGAGTGAGACTGGAACGCAAAAAAAAAAAAACAGTCATGTCTCAGTGCATAGCTCTTAGAATAGGACCTGACACGGTCTTTAATAAATGTTAGCTGTATTATTACTATTTTATCTCAGAATTTCTCTCCATTCTTATATATTTTATCTTCATGTGAAGGAAAACTCTTGGTCTAATTCCTCTCTTAATTGTTAAGCTTTTCTTCATTAAAAAAAAATATGTAAGTTTTTTTGGTGTGTGTATGTGTCGGAGTCTGGCTCTGTTGCCCAGATTGGAGTGCAGTGGCACGCTCATGGCCACCGCAGCCTTGACCTATTGGGCTCAGGTGATCCTTCCATCTCTGCCTTCCAAGTAGCTGGAAACACAGGCAGTACCACCACGCCTTTTTTAAAAAAATTTATTGTAGAGACGAGGTCTCGCCATGTTGCTGAGGCTGGTCTCAAACCCCTGAGCTCAGACAGTCCTCTCTGCTTCCCAAAGTGCTAGGATTACAGGCTTGAGCCACCACGCCTGACAAAAAATATGTTTGTATTTTAATTTTCCCTTAACCTTGAAAAAAGCAAAAACAAACATAGAACCTCTCTGTCCCACCATAAGCTGTTTCCGTGTTTCTCCCTGAGAACCTCCAAGACTCCTTCCTCCAGTTCAGCCCACAGCATCTGCCTTCTGCACTCGGCACTCTGCTGAAAGTTGCTTGTTACGCTGGTCTCAGATGCCACTTGAGAGGTCTCACTGCTGTCTCCCAGTCTTCGTCCTGTTCCATCTTAGTCACATCTAGTACTGATATCAGTACCACACTCTTTCTGTTTCACTTCCTCTCCAGCTTTTATTAAACCAGCATTTATTAGACATATGTCATGTACCGGGTCCTGTGGGTACAGCAGAGAAACAACCAACATCTGTGGAGCTTAATTCTAACTTCATGCCTCTTCTTCCTACCCTACCCCTAAATATCGATATTCTACAAGTTCAGACTTCAGCTGTTTTCTCTTATTTCTGTGAAATGGCTTTAGTTATCACCTCTGTGAAGAGAGGGGACAGTATATATGTCTTCTTCTGACATCAACTACCCACCTTTCCACCTGCCTTTTGGTCATCATCAATAGCTTTTGCACCAGCCAGGTACAGTGGCGTGTGCCTGTAGTTCCAGGTATTTGGGAAGCTGAGGTAGGAGGATTACTTGAGTTCGGCCGGGGCAACATAGCAAGACCCTGTCTTTCCTACCAAGACATCATATCCATGTCTAGAATTGAAATCATTTTTTCTGGTCCTCCTCTTCAGTTTTCCTTCCTATTAAATAGCATCATTCCTCAGAAGATCACTCCTCCCACAAAGCTTTTCCCCTCCATGCCCTTCCTCGCTGACATCTAGTTAGGTGATACTGAGTCCTGGATTTCACCCTAGTCTTCTGCACGTTTTCTTTTTTTTTTTAAGTTGGAGTCTCACTCTGTCACTCAGGCTGGAGGGTAGTGGCATGCTCCCAGCCACTGCAACTTCAACCTGCTGGGCTCAGGCGATCCTTCTGCCTCAGCCTTCCAAGTAGCTGGAACTACAGGCACACGCCACCACACCCGGCTAATTTATTTTTATTTTTATTATTATTATTTTTTGAGTTGGAGTCTCATTCTGTCACCCAGACTGGAGTACAGTGGCCGCTCCCGGCCACCGCAGCCTCGCCCTGCCGGGCTCTGGTGATCCTTCCTCCTCAGCCTTCCAAGTAGCTGGAACTACAGACGTGCGCTACCACGCCCGGGTAATTTTTGATTTATTGTAGAGATGAGGTCTCGCCAAGTTGCCCAGGTGGGTCTTGAACCCACAAGTTCAGACAATCCACTCATCTCAGCCTCCCAAAGCATGGGATTACAGGCTGAGCCACCAAGCCCGGCTAATTTTTAAAAATTTATTGTAGAGATGAAATCTTGCCAAGTTGCCCAGGCTGGTCTTGAACCCATGGGCTCAGGCAATCCTCTCACCTCGGCCTCCCAAAGTGCTGGGCTGCTTGTCTTCTTTTTTTTTTTTTTTTTTTTTGAGTTGGAGTCTCACTCTGTCCCCCAGACTGGAGTGCAGTGGCTGCTCCTGGCCACTGCAGCCTCGACCTGCTGGACTCCGGCTATCCTTCCACCTTAGCCTTCCAAGTAGCCGGAATTACAGGCATGAGCTACCATGCCCGGGTGATTTTTTGATTTATTGTAGAGATGAGATCTCGCTGCCCAGGCGGGTCACGAATCCGGCTGCTTGTCTTCTTAACCCAGCATAGCTTCATACTAGACATATGATACAACATCATTCAATCTGTATATGTTAATTATTTAGATTTCAGTTGTGTAACTCAGAACTTTTCAAAAGGAGCTATATAACACCTTCTAAAAACAGCTTTTGTTATTCAACAAATATTTGGAGTGTCTTAAAAAGACAAAAATCTGTGTCCCCTTAGAGGTTACAATCTTTGAAAATTATTTTTAAGATAATCTTTTAAATTATTATTTATATGTAAATAATTATTTTACTGAGCGTAAAATATTGACCACACATTTATTTTTATTTATTTATTTATTTTTTGAGTTGGGGTCTCACTCTGTCGCCCAGATTGGAGTGCAGTGGCCGCTCACGGCCACCGCAGCCTTGACCTGCTGGGCTCCGGCGATTCTTCTACCTCAGCCTTCCGAGTAGCCAGAACTACAGGCACGCGCTACCACGCCTGGCTGATTTTTTGATTTATTGTAGAGATGAGATCTCGCCAAGTTGCCCAGGTGGGTCTCGAACCCGCCGGCTTAGGCAATCCACTCACCTCAGCCTCCCAAAGGCGCGGGATTACAGGCTGAGCCACTGAGCCCGGCTTATAACTTTTTAAATGCATTATTTATTCCTCAGGCCAATGGACGATTTGAAGTAGGCAAGAAAATCTGTTTGAGCATCTCAGGACATCATCCTGAAACTTGGCAGCCTTCATGGAGTAGTGAGTATTAATTTATAGTCAATGTAAATCTCTTATAACCTTAGTAAACTCATAGTCATGAAGTATAATACCCTCTTTTTTCTCTTTCCAGAGTAAACCCAGTTGCTTTTTCAAAGCAGCTTAGATTGATGTTTCCTTTTTTATTTCAGTAAGGACAGCTTTATTAGCCATCATTGGGTTTATGCCAACCAAAGGAGAGGGGGCCATAGGCTCTCTAGATTACACACCTGAGGAGAGAAGAGCGCTCGCCAAAAAGTGAGTTCTGCATGTCATTCTCTGCTGAGGTCTGAATCTGGCTCTGGGTAGTGAGGAGACAGGCAGGTGCTGTTTCTTCCTGTGTGACTTACCTTCTGGGTTTCTGTGGCTACAGGATCTTATCTTAGTTTTGCTATTTTAGAAGATCAGTTGTACTACTGTAATTTCCTCAGGGTGACTAGAATCTAAATAATTGATTGCATGCTATCTAGTCTTAAAAATAGTTGATAAGCCTGGGCGTGGTGGCTGAAGCCTGTAGCCCCAGCACTTTGGGAGGTCGAGGCGAGAGGATCGCCTGAGCCCAGGGGTTCAAAACCAGCCTGAGCAATGTTGAGACCTCATCTCTACAATAAATAAAAAAATTAGCTGAGTGTGGTGGCACACGCCTGTAGTTCTAGCCACTGTGGAAGGCTGAGGCAGAAGGATCACCTGAGTCCAGCAGGTCGAGGCTGTAGTGGCCGTGAGTGTGTCACTGTACTTCAGCCTGGGCAACAGAGTGAGACTCCAACTCAAAAAAAATTTATAATATTCTACTAAGATTTAATTGAATACAGTGGGAGATACATTCTCCCGGAAAGCATATAGGTCATTGGGTCCACTCAGATGGTATTACAAATGGAAAGGGGCAGAGTAATTATTTATGTGAGCTTTCCAAAAGATTAGAAACTCCTCAAGGTAGGGAGGAGATCCACCTTATCCATCTTTGTGTCTTCAGTATCTCACTCATAGCAAGTGTTGAATAAACGATCTGGGATAAGACAGGGATTTTTTTTGTTTTTGTTTTTTTTGAGTTGGAGTCTCACTTTGTCGCCCAGACTGGATTGCAGTGGCTGCTCCCGGCCACCGCAGCCTCTACCTGCTGGGCTTCGGCGATCCCTCCACCTCAGCCTTCCAAGTAGCTGGAACTACAGACCCGCCTGGGCAACTTGGCAGGTGCTACCACTCCCGGCTAGTTTTTGATTTATTGTAGAGATGAGGTCTTGCCAAGTTGCCCAGGCGGGTCTCGAACCCGCGGGCTCAGGCAATCCACTCATCTCAGCCTCCCAAAGGCGCGGGATTACAGGCTGAGCTACCGAGCCTGGCTAGGGATGTTTTTTAAATCAATGTGCAAGTGCCCAGGGCTATTGCCTTCTCTTTCTTCAGGTGCATTTTTGTCTATGTAACCAAAGTAGTCATTCAGTTCAGAGCATTCTCTCTGAGTAGTGCTGAGATCTAATTCTCGATTTTGATCATTTTCCAATACTAGAGTCTGCTGCCTCCCATCTTTCTGACATATGTTGATTAAATTATAGCATTTTTACCCTAGCACAACCCGGAGCAGGCCCTCCACAGATGTTTGTTAGATCAGATAGTTAGATTTTAGCATCTGGAAGATTGGTAGACTGCCTGGTCTCCTCAGCAACTTTAAAAAATTTTTCCTCGTTTTTTTGAGTTGGAGTCTCACCCTGTCGCCCAGGCGGGAGTGCAATGGCATGCTGATGGCTACCACAGCCTGAACCTGCTGGGCTCAGATGATCCTTCCACCTCAGCTAAAGTAGCTGGAACTACAGGCATGAGCAACCACACCTGGCTAGTTTTTTGACTTACTGTAGAGACGAGGTCTCTCCAAGTTGCCCAGGCTGGTCTTGAACCTGTGAACTCAGGAAATCCTCTCACCTAGGTCTCCCAAAATACTGGGATTATAGTCATGAACCACTGCGCCCAGCCACTTTTCTTTTCAGTTTAATGGTTCAGCATTTGAGTGTCTCAGCTATTTGATTTACCAACATTCAAACATTGTTTCCTACCAGATCACAAGATTTCTGCTGTGAAGGATGTGGCTCTGCCATGAAGGATGTCCTATTGCCTTTAAAATCTGGAAGTGGTTCCAGTCCGGCTGACCAGGAAGCCAAGGAACTGGCTAGACAAATCAGTTTTAAGGTGCTGTAAATTCTTAATTCTAATTTTGTAGTCCTTTTGTTTACTACTGCATTCTGGATAGGAAGGAAAGCAATATAGTTCTATTGTAATAAAGTTTTACAATTTTTTTTTGGTACAAAACTCATAATTCACATCCACAAAGGCATAATGTTATAGTGAATGGTTAAAGCTTGGACTCTGATATACAACGCCGGGGTTCAAATCCCAACTTTGTTGCTTAGTAGCGGCATGATGTCAGACATTTTAATTAACCACTCTGTGTCTTTTTCTCATCTGTAAATAATAATGGTACCTATAACATAGGATTGCTGTGAGGATTGAGTTACATATAATGTATACATATAATGCCTGTGTTGCATTTAGAACTGTCCCTGGTGCTTAATATACTCTAGTTATTATTATAGAAGATGCCAGATAAGCAATGAGAAGAAGATGGCAGTTGTCCACAAGCCCATCCTCCAAGAATGACTCCTGTTCATCTTTTGGCATATCTCCCTGTATCCCTTTTTTCTGCGTACATTTTACTGGAACATAGGATTATATAGTATTTTGGCATTTGGAGTATTAAATACTTAATAACTTAAAGTATTAAGTATTTAATACTTCTGGAATTTAATTAGCTTTACAAAAAGAAATATCAGCCTGCATTAAGCAGCGAGCCTCCTCCTCCATCTCCACTTCTGCCTTTCCCGGGGCAGTTCTTGGAGTTTTTCCCTTCTGTTTTATTATAGTACCTGGAGGAGGAGGAACCCAACCCCTCTGAGGATTCCTTAAATTGCTTCTGAAGTCTTAAGACCAGTGTGTTTTGTACACCAGAATCGTTCAGATTTTAGAAAACATCTAACAAATGCCAGATGTTAACTAACTTGCAGTGGGATCTGGGCAGCTCCTCGTATCAAATCCATTAATATTTCCTCGGCAGACCTTAGAATATTTACACTAATGTGGGATAAAGACTATCAACAGCCTCACATCAGCTCATGGCAGGCTTTGCCTAGAAGTTACCAACACAACTTTAGTTTTTTTGAGTTAGAGTCTCACTCTGTTGCCCAGACTGGAGTACAGTACATGTTCACGGCCACCGCAACCTTGACTTGCTGGGCTCAGGCGATCCTTCTGCCTCAGCCTGCCGAGTAACTGGAACTGCAAGCACGTGCCACCACGCCCAGGTAGTTTTTTGATTTATTGTAGAGAAGAGGGCTTGCCAAGTTGCCCAAGCTGGTCTTAAAGCCGTGGGCTCAGACAGTCCTCTCATCTTGTCCTCCCAGAGTGCTGGGATTATCGACGTGAGCCACCACACCCGGCCACAACTTTAGTTTGAGAGCTTTTTAGAATTGTGGATTGTGAATTGTGAGTGTTAATTTTGTTCTTCACCAAGTAGTAGCTTTAAAAAAAATTTGCTGTTTTTTTGAGAGAGGAAGTTTTGTCTGTCACTCAGTGAAGTGCAGTGGGATGATCATAACTCACTGCAGCCTTGAACTCTCCTGGGCTCAAGTGATCCTCCCATCTTAGCTTCCCGAATAGCTAGGACTATAGGTGTGCACCACCATACCTGACTAGTTTGTTTTTTTTGTAAGGATGGGATCTTGTTATGTTGCCCAGGCTGGTCTCCAACTTCTGGTCTCAAGCAATCCTCCTGCTTCGGCCTCTCAAAGTGCTGGGATTACAGGCGTGAGCCACTGTGCCCTGACTAGCAGCTTCTGGAGATCAGGAATTGTCCATATCTCTTCTATGATACCTAGTACAGGGTGTTGCACACGTGAGTGCTCACTGCTTAAGTGACTAATGATTAAAATACATTCAAGAGAGGGAACTGAGTGGGCCGTGGTTGTCCTGTATATTTCCCATTTTAACACTGCTCTGTATGTCGTGTTTATAGGCAGAAGTTAATTCATCTGGAAAAACTATTGCTGAGTCAGACTTAAGCCACTCTTTTTCACTGAATGATTTACAAGATGATATACCTACAACATTCCAGGGTGCTACGGCCAGTACATCGGTATGGCTCTTGTCTTTTAATATATATGTATGTCGGTATCATTATCATTTGACATAGGAGAAGAAGATTCCTCAATCAGATGCCTGAGAAATGTGGTTCTCCTAACAGTTGGATTCTAACCCAGTGCCCCTCTAATGGATTATATTATGTTGAGCAAGTTGTTCATACTTTCTGGGCCTTGGTTTTCTTTTTTGTTCAATGGGATTGGACAGATAATTCTTTTCTTTGAGTCTCACTGTGTCACTGAGGCTGGAGTGCAGTGGCATGCTCATGGTTACCACAGCCTCGACCTGCTGGGCTGAGGTGATCCTTCCGCCTCAGCCTTCCGAGTTGCTGGGACTGTCGGCGTGCATCACTATGCCCGGCTAAGCTTTCGATTTATGTAGACCCGAGGTCTTGCCATGTTGCCCAGGGGGGTCTCAAGCTCCGGGACCCCGGCAGTCTTCTCGCCTCCACCTCCCAAAGTGCTGGGATCATAGGTGTGAGTCCTTGTGCCCGGCTTAAATAATTCTTAAGTCTTATTGTTCCTCCAGACGTCCCTGATTTCTCTGAACAGATAGATAGTTTCAATACAGCGCTAGACTCTGAACAAAACAAGACACACATGTGTTAGCCATTCTAAGTAGACACGACTCTTGCCAGGTTCATTAGCTGTGTTAAGGCAGTGACTGAATAAAGACCCGGAGCCAAAAATTTGCCTTTGATTCGCTCTGTCCAATACAGTAACCACTAGCCACGTGCAGTTATCTACACTTAAATGTAAATTAATGAAAACTAAATAAAATATAAAATTCTGTTCCTCAGTCACACTAACTGTAGCTCCATAGCTGCATCGGACTAGTGGTACCATATTGGATAGTGTAGACACAACCTCACTATCATCACAAAGTTCTACTGGACAATGCTACCTTGTACACAGTAAGTGTTCAATAAATAATTGTTGAATAAAATTATGAATGCTGTGGATACAGTTGTTAGTTGTGCCCTGGCCTATTGTCTAAAAAATCAGACCGGGCACAGTGGCTCATTCCTGTAATCCCAGCACTTTGGGAGGCTGCGGCGAGAGGATTGCCTGAGCCCAGGAGTTTGAGACCAGCCTGGACAACATAACAAGACCTCGTCTCTACAATAAATCAGGTGACAGAGTGAGACTCCAACTCTAAAAAATAATAAATTGGTGGGCCTAGGTGATCAAAGAGGTTGATTTTAAAAGTATGACAGGATTGGCACTAAATAATTAGGATTATGGGGGGAAATAATGAGTTTCCTTTCTAGATATAAAGGATGAGTTGTCTTTTGAGATCTTTTTGGTAACAGATTGTTTGGGAAGTTCTCCCTTTTTTTTGTTATGCTAGTGTATAGAGGACTTTAAAAGGTTGAGGAAACTTGGAATAGAAGCTGAACAAGCACTGATTTGCCCTTTACCCAGGAGTAACTTACTGTGAAGTGGGACTGCATGGTCTTGAGTGGGTCTCTCCTGTTCAGAGAGTAAGCTGGGCAGAGAGGTGGGTCGAAGGAGAACAGGGAGAGGTAGAACCCTGGGAGGCTGACGAGGGTATCTGGGAAAAAGTGTGTGAGAATGAGTTTAAATCATTCCTATGTCAGCCTGGTGCAATTATATGAGTTGCAGAGAAATATTATGAATTGGTTTAATGTTTTTTGAGTTGGAGTTTCACTGTGTTGCCCAGGCTGGAGTGCAGTGACACGCTTACAGCCACCGCAGCCTCAAGTTGGGCTCAGGCGATTCTTCCGCCTCAGCCTCCAAGTAGCTGGAACTACAGGCATGCACTACTACGCTTGGCTATTTTTTGATTTATAGAAGAGAGGAGGTCTCACCAAGTTGCCCCGGCTGGTCTTGAACCCCTGAACTCAGGTAATCTTCTTACCTTGGCCTCCCAAAGTGCTGGGATTAGAGGCTTGAGCCACTGTGCCTGGCCTAATGAATTAATTTTAAGTCAGTATGTTTTAGTCTGAAATATTAAAAAAAAAAACTTTTCAATTGCTTTTCATTTTTAGCATTCTGATTTTTTAAATTTTATACATGGTTTTTTTTTTAAAAATAGAACTAGCCGGGCTCGGTGGCTCAGCCTGTAATCCCGCGCCTTGGGGAGGCTGAGGTGAGTGGATTGCCTGAGCCCACGGGTTCAAGATCCGCCTGGGCAACTTGGCGAGACCTCATCTCTACAATAAATCAAAATGAACCGGGTGTGGTAGCGCACGCCTGTAGTTCCAGCTACGCGGAAGGCTGAGGCAGAAGGATCGCCGGAGCCCGGTGGGTCGAGGCTGTGGTGGCTGACTGCACTCCAGTCTGGGTGACAGAGTGAGACTCCAACTCAAAAAAAAAAAAAAAAAATAGAACCATTCTATTATAAAAAAGAGGATGGTAATCTTTTTTCATAAATATTGAGAGACTGTCCTAATAGGTGAAAAAAGATTACATATTCCAGTTATACTAATTCCTGTTGTAATTTACTTTGTAAATATGTCACTTCCCAGAATGTAAGTTCCTTGAGGGTCAGGGCTCTCTTTTGACTTCTGCCTTGTATGCCCAGTGCCTGACTCAGTGCCTTGACTGCAGTAGGTTATCAATGCATATTTCTTGCTTGAATGATTGACTCTTACTTAGGATTGGCACTTTTAAAAAATACTAGGAATATACAGTTAAAGAATCAAGATGGTTAAGTAAATTAGAGTGTACAAACAATAATGGTATATATTATCATGGTATTTATTTCACTTTGATTTTAATGTATATAGAACTTGGAATTATTTTTCATAGATGTAAGTCATTAATTGAGACAAAATTTGGTTAAAGTACCAACAAGCAATAAATGAGGTACAGTTGCAAGCTTTTAATTACATTTGTATATAATCTATCTCAGAATATGATTATGTAATTTGACCACTATGGAAGTAACTGAAACCTGGTGTTGGCTAGGGGTGACTGCTTTACATGCAAGTGTAATATAAATCCTCTGAGATGTTCTCCATCAAGTCCCAGATAAACTATGGTTTTTAAAACCTTGTTGTGTGGGGGGGTGAGAGATTGCCAAAAGTCTAAATACAACAGATAACATCAGGCCGTCTGTTGCTTTTTTTAAACTATAGACTTATATATATATTTTGAGTTGGAGTCTCACTCTGTCACCCAGGCTGGAGTGCAGTGACATGCTCATGGCCACCACAGCCCCGAGCTGCTGGGCTTAGGTGATCCTTCCGCTTCAGCCTTCCAAGTAACTGGAACCACAGGTGCGAGCCACCACACCCAGCTAATCTGTGGCTTTTTGATACAGATTGTTTAGCTGTGTGGAAATGGGAAATATACTAGCTGAGTGCTACGGTTCATATTTATAATTCCAGCACTTTGGGAGGCTGAGGAGAGAGGATTGCTCAAGCCCAGGAGTTCAAGTCCAGTCTGAGCAACACAGCAAGATGTTGTCTCTACAAAAATAAAAAAATTAGCTGGGCTCCTTGATTCACACCTATAGTCCCAGCTACTTGGGAGGCAGAGGAGGGAGGATTGCTTGAGCCCAGGAGTTTGAGGCTGCAGTGAACTGTGATTGTTTCACTGCCCTCCAGTCTGGGTGACAGGATGAGACCCTGACTCAAAAAAAAAAAAAAGCTAGGTGCAGCAACTCACACCTGTAATTCCAGCACTTTGGGAGGTAGAGGCAAGAGGATTGCCTGAGCTCAGGGACTCGAGACCAGCCTGGGCAACTTGGTGAGACCTTGTCTCTACAATAAATAAAAAAATAAGCTGGGCGTGGTGGCTCGCACCTGTAGTTCCAGCTACTTGGAAAGCTGAAGCAGAAGGACCGCCTGAGTCCAGCAGGGTCGAGGTTGTGTTGGCTATGAACCTACCACTGCACTCCAACCCGGGTGACAGTGAGATTCCGACTCAAAAACAAGGAAAAAGGATGGTGGTTTTATATTCTTCCAGTCTATCGGATAGGTTTTCTCCTCTTCCCAGGGATTGAAGTTCTGAATAAGCCATTCAATTTTATATTTAAAAAGCATACACAAAACTCCTTCACAGATGCTGGTTATTCTAGGTTATTATATAAAAATCAATATATTTATATTACTAGGGACTTAACTATGACTGATTTTTTTTTTCTTAATAGAAAGGGTCTTACTCTGTCACTCAGGATAGAGTACAGTACAATCTTGGTTTTGAATTCCTGCAGTTTTGAATTCCTGGGCTCAATTCCTCAGATTCTCAAGTAGCTAGGACTACATGTGTGCACCACCACACCCTGCTAGGTTTTTAAATGTTTTTGTAGAGATGAAATCTTGCTATGTTGTTCTTGCTGGTCATGAGCTCCTGGCCTGAAATGATCCTCCAGCCTTGGCCTCCTGATGATTATTTTAAATAGGAAACATTTTAGAATTTTATAATATCCAGGTTCTAGATTTTAGTCGGTGATCTACCATCCAAAAGGCATCTGAAGCATTATGTCTCTATCCAAATTTTCATTAAGTATATGTACTAAAATATCATCTACAACCAATGTTTTAAGGGATTGTTTTTATAAATTTATTAATCATACTAACAAAAGTCCTAAGTAAAGTCATGACTTTTTAAAAATTTAAGTCTGGATATCTTCAAAGGGGTATATTGATAGTAACAATATTAATGCTAACAGCATTTAACAAGCAATTGTATGTCCTAAGCACTTTATAGCATTACCTCATTTAATCCTCACAACTGCTCAGTTGAATGTTATCCTCATTGTACAAATAAGCAAGCTGAATCTTAGGTTAAATACTTACTTAGGGTCACACATCTACTAAGTGGCAAAGCCAGCCTGCTAATGCTATGGGTCCCTGTTTTGGTCAGGTTTGCAGGCAGACTAATATGTATGAAGTAAAAGCTTTCATCTGAGTCAGTGTCTTGTGGCAGTGTCTCGACTGACAGCACCATCATGTGTTTGATTTTCCTTGAGAACCTACTTCCTTTTCAACTTTGAGTACTTTTGCTTTATTAAGCGCTTTTGTCTTCTTGGCTGAGCAGTTGAAAGAATGGGAGGTTTTTAATGGGATGTTTCTGTTACTGGTTCAACTCTTAACTCATTCAACTCAGTGAGCATTGAGTAACTCACCCATGACACCTGTGATGATGTGTGGACTCAGTGCCGCAGCTCTAATCTCTTTAAGGAGCAAATGGCTCCAGGATGCCAGTTTTGGAAGTCTGAGTTCGTGCAACCCTAACTCAGTATCGGCACTAACTTTTATTTTAAACTCGTCAGTAGTTCCTTTCTACCTCTGTATTATGGGTCACTGCATTTGAATGATCCCAAAGGATAGTTTTTAGAAATTCAGATTATTTAAGCCTTTTAATGTTGAGATGAATGTCAGAGTCAAATGGCAATCCTTGTACAGGTAACTTAGATGAGCAGTTTCCTCCCTAATAGTTACAGCTATTGTCAGCACAAAGCCCATTCTCTTACCTTTTTTTAAAAAAAGCATTTGAATTACATCATTTGATTCTTTTTTCCTAAGTATTTAAATGCTCTTTAATATAAAATATTTTAAACATTTTATACTTTGAGGTTATGTTGAATGAAATATGCATTCTCTTTTTTAGAAACAATATGTATTGGCAATAATGTATAATACAGTTGCTTTCAGTAAAAGAATTAAAACCCAGTAAGTTAGTAGAGGTTAAGTGTCTATATAAATAAAATGGAATTCATATTCTGTAGAGCTTCCTTGAATATGCCATTATCATTTTTTTCTTTTCTATTTTTTTTTTTTTTGAGTTGGAGTCTCACTCTGTCTCCCAGACTGGAGAGCAGTGGCCGCTCCCAGCCACCGCAGCCTTGACCCGCTAGGCTCCAGCGATCCTTCCGCCTCAGCCTTCCAAGGAGCTGGAACTACAGGCGCGCGCTGCCACACCCAGCTAATTTTTTCATTTATTGTAGAGATGAGGTCTCACCAAGTTGCCCAGGCGGGTCTCGAACCCGCGGGCTCAGGCAATCCATTCACCTCAGCCTCCCAAAGTGCTGGGATTACAGGCTGAGCCACCAAGCCCGGCTCATTTTTTTCTTATCTGTAAGCCATATTTAAGATTTCGAATCACTTGACATGACGTTGTGGTTATACTCTGATTGACATTGAAGTGATAGAAGTGCTAACTGTCATCCAGCGCTTGTGGGGATCAACCAGTGTTCCAAGACCGCCATACCCAGGAAACCCTTGACAGCATAACATTTTCAAAGTCAAAGATACTTCTGGATTTGTGTTCAGTGCACTTGGCAGGAATTGTGAGGAAGGGAAAGCGTGGCTTGAAAACCACACCTGAGTTTTTGCAACAGCATTGTTATGAGTGATGTAGGGTATGGAATGATTTCCTGTGCTCTCTTGCTTTTTGGTGGAACATATTGGTGGAAGCATATGGGTGCTGTCAGGTAACATCGGAAGAAAACCGTCACTACTGAGAGGTCCCTTTTTGCCAGTTGTAATGGCTGATTTCTAGGCTGGAGCGGGAGCTCAGGCTGCGTCCCTCCTTGCATCTCCGGAAAGAAGGGAAGCGCTGCGCGCTTGGCAGGTGCTTCTGGGGTTGCGTCCTGGCGAGAGTAGAAAGCCATCTGGAGGGTGTCGGGGAGCGCTCGCCTTGTCTGACTTGTGGCGGGGACACTCCTCCTCCATATCGGAAACTCAGAACTGGCTGTGTCGCTGGCTCATTCAGAAGGGTGAGTTGGCAGCCTCTGCACTTAGAAAATTCTTGGTAGATTTGCCCCTATTTGTGTTTGGTACTCGGAGCTTCTGAGTCTTCAAGACTAGAGAGCAAGTATACATGCAAATGTTCTTTGCCGATTTCAAGCACAGTTTCCTAAACTTTCCTAGGAGGGAGGCCAGAGTCCCCCGGCAGCATGCCTTCAACAAGCCCCCCAGCCTGCAGCCAAGAATACCTCCATGAGCCCTCGACAGCGCCGGGCCCAGCAGCAGAGTCAAGGAAGGTCGTCTGCTTCACCAGAGGGAATCCAGGGCCAGCGGCCACGAGACAACCACACTGACCATGGCGGGTCAGCCGTACTGATTGTCATCCTGACTTTGGCGTTGGCTGCTCTTATATTTCGACGGATATATCTAGCCAATGAATACATATTTGACTTTGAGTTATAATATTGTTTTGTGACTTAAGAGCTGTGACTCAGCTGCTTCATTAAACATTCTGCATTGGGTATAATCTAAGACTTGTTTACAAAAAGATCACTTTGTATTTATCCTCCATTCCTTTTTTTGATCCGTGTAAATTCAGTATAAATACAGGTAGACATTCAGACTGTCCAGCAGTGTGTCCTGCCTAGTTTAAGGGAGCGGAAATCCAAGTTCCTTACCTCGCCATCTGATCTGCTTCACAGGGAAATAACTTATTGTTTCTCATGCCTCAGCTTCTTTTTATGTACATTTGTGATACTTTTCTGTATAGCCCTTTGAAATTTTTGGATCAAAGATGATGTTTTAAGTTCCAGTGAGTATCACTGGTCACTCAATACCACTCACTGAGTACTCTGTTTCTACTTACGTAGCCTGACTGGGGGCAGAAGGGTTGAAAGCAGCATCTTCAAGTGGCTTCCTCCAAGTGTCGCCTACAGGAGGTGAGCTGGGACTGCGCATCCTGGGCCTTCATTGCGTCCCAAACGTTCTACAGCGAAAATGACTTTACTTCGGTCGAACTTGATGAGGAAAGGAGATCACAGCTTTGCCATTGAAGAGGGAGTACTTTGTAAGCACTTCCACATGCTGTTACCCTCCCCCACTCTCTGATACGCACATGCATTTAGAAAGAAAGAAAACAGTTCTCCGTGGGTTTTTGTTTGAAGGAAGAGAGGATCCAAGCCAGGAGATCACTTAGTTTTCTTCCAGCCGTTAAGCGGGAGGATTTGAAGACTTGAATGTTTGCTCTGCTTTGAATTGTCTGTCTTTTAGGTGTAGAATCTACCTAGCTTTGCAGTCACTATAAGTTGTAATTATTCCAGGAATATGCACAATGTTGAAGTATTTCATGTTCCATTTTAATAGAAAAACTCAGGGCCCAAGTAGCAGCGACAGAAGTTAGAAAACCTTTCCTTAGAACTGTCCACCTAATCAAAGCCCAAGAAAGAAGTTTCAGTGGAAAAACCAATATAGAGCTTAGTGCTAGCTAGCTCTCAAACTCTAGTAGATACTTTTATCATCATCATGCCTGGTGAGACCATATAATCAGAGAAACACATTGCCTTCAGCATGTCAAGTGAGCATTCAGGGCAGTCTTGAGGGCGTTGTGGATGAGACTTAAGTTTTTTTGTTTTTTTTGAGTTGGAGTCTCACTCCGTCGCCCAGACTGGAGTGCAGTGGCCGCTCCCGGCCACCGCAGCCTCGGCCTGCTGGGCTCCGGCGATCATTCCGTCTCAGCCTTCCGGGTAGCCGGAATTACAGGCATGCGCTACCACGCCCGGCTGATTTTTGATTTGTTATAGAGATGAGGTCTTGCCAAGTTGCCCAGGCGGGTCTCGAACCTGCGGGCTCAGGCAATCCACTCACCTCAGCCTCCCAAAGGCGTGGGATGACAGGCTGAGCTACCGAGCCCGGCGAGACTTAAGTTTTAAATACAGGCAAGTCCCCAGCTTCCCAATATGTTATGCTCTAAAACTTCATTTGTATGTTAACATTTTTACAAGTTAAACAATGTGAAATAAGGTTCTAGACCAGTCTGCAGAAGTTAGCCAACATACTTGAACAGTTTGGGGGGAGGGTAAAGTCCTGTGTGGTTTTCACTAATAGAAATTATGGGCAAGATAGAAATAATTTGTAAAATCATTTTAAAGGCAAATTTTATTTTTAATCCTGTTTATAGGACTTTGGTTCTGTTCACCATCAGACACAATTTCTGTTTCATTTGCCAGTTTTCCTTCATGTCCACATTAAAATAAGAATATTGTATACTATTATAGATTACAAGATTGTCTTAAACGTTAATAAATAAGCATTTGAAAGGTGTTTACAGATTGCTTTTGTTATATCTGTAGCTGAAGTCGGGAAAGTCTAAAAAAGCCCAAGGACTTTATGAAGATCTTGTGTCGGAAAATTACAGGTTACCATCATATAACTTTGTTGCCATGAGAAAATACATCCTGAGTCTTGATTTGGAACAGAAGATATTGGAAACGTAGGTTCAGTGGTCTCCTCGCAAGCAGGTGCTGACCCATGGGGAGGACCAGATAGCGTTATCCCCGGAGAAGAACAAAGTCCTGCCGCCTCAGCCTGTGCTAAAGTGACTCCCGTGCTGGGAACCGCCTTCCCTCCCCCCCTCACCGTCACTCGAGCGGGCCTCTGGATCTGTGTGATCTGGTTGCGTGTGTCCAGGGGGCAGGGCAACCTGTGCTTTCGAGTTAAGCAAGTAGACTTTGCGCTGTGCAGATCCTTCCTGTTCTTCCTCTCGTCTGTCTCCTGTCACCAACTGACTGCCTTCTTGTGTGTGAGGATTGTTTTAGCGCCTGACACACCATCAGAAAGCAGCTCATTTTCCGTCTTTCTTCTTCCTCACATATGCTCTCTTAAAATCCCTAAGTTGCCAACCTGATCCCCGTGGTGGGGTTAAAGAGCAAAACGGGTCTTTGGGGCCATTTTTACACGAACCCCAATGAAAGGTCTCTTCAGAAGACTATTGTTTGGAAGGCCCAACTTTAGCTGCTTAATTCTAGCATAAAGCCAAAACTGGATGTATCTTCTGGCAGATAAAGGCTTAGGACACTTGCCCCAGTCCTCAGACGTAGGTAGCTCATGACTTTTTCTTTGACCAACACAGCACCTGACTGTGAATCAAGGTAGTTAAAATAGCATGGTTGAAAACGTCCTAAATCTACTTCACCTGTAACTGTTTAAGCCAATAAATCCTTTCAAAATGTATGTAATGCAGGGCTTTTTTGTAGCACTTTATATTTTCATGCTGCTGCTTGTTTTATTCTGCTGAAATAAATGAGTTTCATCAAGATTCTCAACTAATTTTTTTTTTAACTTCAAAAATTGTTCATAGTTTTGACTGTAAATATAAAATTTCCTCTTCAGGAGAATAAGAACTCTTTGTCACTTTTGGCTAGGAATAATCTTTCTGGCATCTGGAGACCACCCATTTTTATAGACCAGAAGTGTCAGTAAGCAAGTCAGCCTTACATATTTGGACTTACTTGAGCAGAGACTTGGTCCGGAATACTGGAAAGCCGATGTTGTTTGATGACTTGCAAGTTCGTATGTGTCAAGAGAATGCACTGAGCGAAGACAACGTCAGCCAAGGCTAATGTGCACACCCACGGATGCACTGTGAAAGCTTTGGTGGGAGGCCCCGCGTTGCCCGGAAGCTGCTGGGGATGCCCCGGGAGCAGTTGCCTTCAGAACTAGTTTGAGCTGCTCAATAAAGCCAGCGACTTCCCTCCACCTTGCTTCTGACCAAAGGTTGTATTCTTTGTGTCATCATCTTGGCCCCTGTCCATCCACCTTGAATCTCCCACTTGGTGTTCACTGCCACTCCCCTCACGAGCCAGGGGTTGATGTGATCACCCCCTCAGAGGTCTCCAGGCTTGCTCCAGCCCTTACGCTGCAGCCAGCGTCTTCTCCAGCACACAGGACTGATCCCTTCTCTCCCACTGCTCGTAAGACAGACCTGGACCCTTAACACAGAACACGGGACGGTGTGTGGCCAGAGTTCTGCCCGGTTTCTGATGTAATCAGAATGCTTCTGGGGCCTTCCCACAGCTCTGAACTTCATCCACTGGGGCTAATCTCTGACCCAAGAGAAGTGAGCAAATGTCAGAGTGATACCATCCACTGTCTCATACCACTTCTAAAAATTAAAATGGAGCAAAGACCTGAATGTAAGAGCTAAAGCCATAAAACTCTTAGGAAATATAGTGACCCTGACTTGCATGCCTTTATAATAGCTTACCTCCTTGCACTCTGACGGACCCGAGGCCCTGCCGGGACCCAAAACATGTACAGGAAGCTGGCTCCCCCGGTGCCCCCTCCTATCAACCGGCTCTGCAGCCTGAAGACAGTTTGGATACCTCCTCATGACATCATCTCCAACCAGTCATCAGTCCCTTGCCCCCCGGCCACCAAATTCCCTTTCTTTTCTTTTTTAATTTTCTTTTTACAATGTGGGGTACCATTTAGGGTTAGGTACACAAATGTGCATCATGCAGATACCCTTGTTGATGAGGTGTGCCCCTCTCTCCCCTGGCAGTATCCCTCAACTGCCAATCCTACCCTCCTTCCCTAGCAGTCTCCCACGACTGCCAATCCCCTTCCTATAGTATTTGTGATAATTGTTCAAGGTCTGCTTATAAGTGAGAACATATGGTACTCTGTTCTTTGTTTCTGTGATCGATCACTGAATATGATCGACTCTAAATCCATTCAAGTTACTGTGAAGTCCGTGTATTTGTCCTTCCCTTTAGACACTAGCCTCCAAATTCTCAGAGAGACGGATTTGAGCAATGTCTCCTGTCCTCCTTACTCACTGCTCTGCACTATTAAACTCTTGCTCTACTGAGACAGCTATGTCAGTCTTGGTTTTTCTGGCAGCAGGCATGAGAACCCAGTGAGGCTGTAACACTGAGATGATCTACATTAACTGGTCTTCCTGTTCTTCATTCAAGCCTAGACGAAATGACACTGGAGAGAAAGAACCTTGGTTACCTCCTTACAATAGAATTCTAAGCAACCTCCTTATGGTGCAATCAACAGTAACCAGTCAACTGATTTTCATTCTCCCCTACACCCAGAGCACAGATCACTGTTCTTTGGTGTAGTTCTGTTCTCCGGATGGCTGCCCTCACATTTTGTGTTTTGTTTTTTTTTGGCTTTTTTTGAGTTGGAGTCTCACTCTGTTGCCCAGGCTGGAGTGCAGTGGCCGCTCCCAGCTACCACAGTTTCAACCTGCTGGGTTCCGGCAATCCTTCCGCCTCAGCCTCCCAAGTAGCTGGAACTACAGGCACGCACTACCATGCCCGGCTAATTTTTTGATTTATTGTAGAGATGAGGTCTCACCAAGTTGCCCAGGTGGGTCTCGAACCCGCGGGCTCAGGCAATCCACTCACCTCAGCCTCCCAAAGGCGCGGGATGACAGGCTGAGCCACCGAGCCCGGTCTCTAAGTAGTTTTTAAACATACTTTATTCTGTTCAATAGGTGAAACATAACCGTATGTATCGCTACACTTTTTTTTTCCCCAGAGTCTCACTCTGTCACTCGGGCTGGAGTGCAGAGGCACAATCACAGCTCACTGCAGCCTCCACCTCTTAGGTTCAGGCCAACTTCCCACCTCAGCCTCCCAAGTAACTGGGCATTTGCCACTACGCCCGGCTATCTCTGTGCAGAATTCCATATCCCAGGAAAGGAATCAAGCCTAATTTATGATGTTTGACTTTGTATGTTTTAGGGTTAAAGACCAAAGTTCGTTTAATGCTCATGATAGGAAGAAGAGCTTACATAATCAT